ATAAGCACAAGATCGTTCTTCTTAGTCGTACTGGAATTTTATGAAATAATTTTCTTAAGTGAAGTTAAAGGTGTATTTGACCCAGCCCCATTATCGAGACAAGAAGCTTCAAAGTTAAGGCACATTTAAGGCTATTGCTTTTATGGAATACTAGTACCTCGGGCACGCTTTTCTTTTTCTCTTGTTCCTATGATTGTAAATATTTATCAGGGTGCTAATATAAAAAAGGTTAAACATCTGAAAGCTAATATGGCTACTCCTTACGGAGGAAAGCAATATGAAATCTAGAGAAAGCACAGGTAAAGATAAATCCTCACAAAGGAAGGCGAAATAAAATGTCAGAGAAGACAAATTTTCAACCTTGCACAAGACTTGGAAAGAGATTAAGTTTTGTTCTTTCCTTAGATAATATTGACGAAGAGTAAGAGAGCAATGTATCAAAACTCGAATAGCTTTTCCATCGTACGATGAGTCTGATCCAAAACTGTTCTTAACACAGAAGTGGCTTTAACTGCACTAAAAAGCTGTTAAGGGACGGTCCAGCCATGATCAGCTTCTTTATGAAATTTTTTTTGAATCAATGATGGCAGAGGAACTTTGAGGAAGCAAACATGAGTGGAAAAAAAAAATCATTAAATATCGATTTATAGAAGTTACCTCAGGTATCAGCCAAAAGCGCACTTACTCTCGTTTTTCCAAATGCATTATCTTCCAAACAGTAGCGTTTTAAACTCTTGATGTGCTGAGCGCATTTCAAGTACTAGGTACGAAGTTGCTTTTAACGGGATATATTCTCGGCTAGAACGCGTAAGGAATGGCTCTGAATGTTATACGTCGAATGGTGTAAAGTTGTTACCTTGGTGGCTGGCATATTTCAAACGTCTTGGAGGAACTGAAGTATTTTACATAGCGTTTTTACCTTTCCTTGGGGTATAAGCCTTTTAGAAATTGGGAAAAATTAACTTTGAAATCGAAAAAGAAAAAAATCCTTAGAGATGAGCTTAGTAATGAAAAAGTTGAATTTGAAGCTCGATTCTTAAGATTATGGCGTCTTGGCGCATAGACTAAGCTACTTTGTTGACCATATTACAAGATTTAATTAACAAGATTGAATGTTATTTGAAAGAATTTTGCAGTTTACACCTGCTAAATCTTGTTGTGAACCTGTAAGGGAGATTCACTGGCTCAGTGGAGGTCATGACGCACAAACTGCGCACAATTACCGATTTGCTTTCGCATAACACGGTGTGTAAACAAAGCTTTTGTTAAACTATGCTCTCAACCAGCGGTGGGAAAACGATTATTGAGTTTCTCCATCGGACTTTCTGTCGTCAGTGCGTGGGAAGAATTTACAGAAATGACGTACACAAAGTAGCGCTGATGAAATTATGACGTTGATCTTGACACAAATGTTTTCCAGTTCGTGAAAACAATTTTTTAAAAACGTTTTACATCCAAGCTTGCCGGATTTCCTGCTGATGACGGTGTTGCACGCCAGTGTTGCACAATAAGTATCAACCCCTAAAGTTAACCTTTCTAATTCATTCAGACTCGTGTCTAGCTGGATAACATTCGAGAAAACTACCTTTTAAGCTCAAAACGAACAGTTAAGTGGTTGAGTGATTCAAAAATGAACATTTCCATGTTTAGAACATATTGTTCTAGAACTGTTACGGTAATCTTGCCTGTTCTAGCTCAATTCAAATATTCCACTTGCTCTGTTCAGATTTTTCTATTTGTAAATTCTCCACAAATCCCATTTGACTCAGACAAATGAAAAAAGCTTGAGATGTCTCGAATATATAAAACCTAGTTTGAATATTTTAGCCAACTAAAATCGGCTTTGTCATAGTTGGTTAAGAATGCATCAGAGAACGTTTGTGTCAGAGTGCCTTTCCAAGTAAAATTTTAAAAATCTTGCCTAAACAGACAGTGGATTCCTAATCATTTCTTTATCTAGCTCTCAAATAACTTTTTCAAGTGTGCCATATGATAACAAAGGTCCCTTCATAATAAAGCACTGATTGCAGGTGATTTTAACACAGCAACCTTAGAAACCTGCTTGGTAACCTCCTTGACGATATTCACAGCCAAAAAATAGTTTACAGGTTATTTATTGAGGTGACGAGTGGGACAGCTAAGGGGAAAATAGCCTATGATTACACAGAGGCTTTCTAACTAAATCCCATCTTCACACTATATGCATTTTTTATGATATGATCCTCTTTCGTTTAACAAATACACTAAATCAGACACAATAGAGAATGGAACAGTGACCAATTCTGATGACTTGATTTCCATTTAAAGTTTTGCCGTGCGTCACCTGTTTTGTTAAGCTCAGGAAATAAAGTCTGTTTTGTGTGTTTATGCCCATGTGTTGATTGCCTTAGTTTTGCTTGAGATTGGGGCGTTTAAAGAGGAAGAGAAGAATAGATATTATAGCTGAAGAGTTGGCTAGTATATTTAATTAGGTGGATTTGAAGATCATGCCAGGCCAAAAAAGAATAGCTTCTTATTTTCGGCGTCAATCAACCTCTGAGTTCAGGTTCCTTGTAAAATAAGCATGTATTTCTATCTTTAAAAAATACAGCGCACTCTTGAAACAGCGGGCAAACAGGTGCAAACATTTAATAACGTCGATAACCTTCGGACGGCTCAAAACAAATGCAATATCTGGTATTTCTTTACATTTAGAGCAATGAAAATATGTCGTGGATTTAGGAAATGCTTTTTGTAGTCTAAACTTGCATTTGTTTTCCGTATTGCAATCTTGTTAATCTATTTGTTTTGTTTATTTAATGTTTTATTTTGTTTTGTTTTGTTCTGTTTTTTTTTTTTTTTTTTTTTTTCACCTCTTAACGAACATTCAGCAATTCGTACAAAATTCTTTCAAGGGAAAAACCTCTCGTTTCAAGGGTTAGATGGTCATTTCAAATAATTTTGTAAATTATTCGATAGAAAAACTACGAAATTCGCCCAACAGATGGTTTTGGTTGTGGCTGAAAAAAGGCCGTCGGAGAATATCAATAATAAATAAAATCAATCTTCACTGCGCTTCCGATGTTAACATGGCCTTATTATTAGCCATTTGTACAGATAAAGCAGAGCTTTCGCTCAACTTAACTTTCCTCACAATTACAAGCCTCTGAAGCGATCACTCATAAAATCAGTGGATGTCTGGCTCTTCAAACGGACAAAAACAGATAATTGGGAATAAATAAATTTTTTTTAAGAGGTCGTCAAAACAAAATTACCGGTTATGTGATTTCGCTGATGTGAAAAGTTGGTAAATTTAAGGTCAGGAAGCGAAAATTAATTCCTACTCTAGGAGATTGATGTCTTTTCGCCACTAGCTCATTCAGTCGTTATTCTTGGCCGAATATTGCAGAAGATGTAGATTTTCCAAAACCTTAAAGCTTCTTGTGAATAGCAGCGATGTATTGGGAACTCTTTGTTTTGTCTTGCCACGTGGTTTAAAAGGCCAAGAAACCGTTAGACTGCTAATTAAATACAGGTTTTGCAAACGTCTTTGATGGTAAACCGAGCATTAACCTAAAACTTTTACTCTATTGCCCTCAAAGAAATTTTTTTGAACTTAAATTGCGCAGTTCAAGATGTAGGTACAGCAAAGTATGCATGGTATAGGTAGGAATAGGTTCTTAATGCGATGTAAACAAGTTTAAAGTTGGCGTTTTTTTATTTCTATATCAAAGGTGAAAAGGCTCTTCTTCCGTCCACTTATTCAGGTTTTCAAACTTTAGAAGTAAGTTGTTTTGGTAAGCGTAACTGTTTCCAAATAGCGAGTAGTCACTTTGAATACGCTTTGCTTGGATTTGTTTGCGTGTTTACACCTGCCTTTGTTGAGGGTGTTCTGTTTGCAGTGTAACAATTGGTGATCCGTTTAGACTGTGGATAAATACTTAAGAATCCCAGCGTATTGGATGCGTTATGAAGAATTATTATCAATGTTCATATCCCTTTATCACCACGTGTGAGAGGCATCTTGGTTCAAGGAGTCCTGAGAAAAACCTTTTGTCCACGTTTGGAATTTTCTAGTCTCCCCAGTCTGCTTCTCGTGTTTGTTGAATTGTACTTAGACAGATAACAAGATTTGGCCAATTTCAAATGGTCTGGTGTCAAAAATTATTCCACAATAAAGGGTCCTTTAGCAAGATTTCCAACACTGATCTGCAATAACTTTGACACTCTCTTCGTAGCTATGCAAGAATATTAATTTAGGAGGTTTCGATGTTAATGAAAAATTTCCGGTTCATTTATTACGAAAGTACGGGTGGTGTCCTTTGTCTAAATAATTGATATGCCACCACGCCTTCGCTTGTTAAAGAGCTTGTGGATTTGCACGGCATGGTGCTCTAAACTATTTACAGAAAACTTGAATTTAGATCTTTTTAGAAAAAGCTTACACTCAAAATATAATAGATGAAAAATCATGCAAGCGCAAACAAGTGGCTACTTTTTAAAAGAAGCATTTTAGTAAACTAAATCGCTTCTTAAAGTTTCTTAACATTGTCACGAAATAATTTCCTTTAGTATTTTGTTTACGATATATTTGATGAAACGAAAAATGCTAAGGTATACATTCGTACCTTGTAAAAAGGAAATAAAAAGCATGCTTTGGATAATATAATACAGTGTATTTGGAAAAAAAAACTGATGCTGCCTGCCTAAAGAATTGTTTTTTATAAAGGTAAACAATTCAGTTCGTACTTGACCAAATTTTCAGGCGCCTTTTGCAATAAAAGGGATGTCACTCATTTACGAGTGGGCGAACAATTAATTACTGGTAACCCATTGAAGTGGCAGCAAGGTCGGTTAAACGCCTCCCTTTGTTTGGTTCTGTTCCAGCTCCCCTGTTGTGAATTGAGGTGCAATGGCCAATAAATTCCGACGAAGTACCTCTCTCGGTCATTGTTGCATTTGAAGTGGTGTCTTGGTGGAATTAACTTAAGAAATTTTCAGAATCAAAGCTCCCTCTTAAAATGCAGCCGACGTATTGTTACAAGAGCCTTCCTGGGTTGAAAGAGGAGTTCAGCTTTCCTTGGATGCGAAACCGACCGATGACGATAGAAACAGAGTTGGTGAGAGACTGCTCTTACCTCAAGCCGTTTACAACAGCTCCTCCTGGTTGTGTGCCGTGTGCAAGCATCCAGCAAAAAGCAGAAGACCAAGACAGAAAGAGACTCGAAGAATTTGATGTGCGATTACATCCTCGTATGGCTCCAGGTCGACCAAAATCCAAACGATTTTCGATGACTTATGTGGCACTTATCGCCAGCGCTATTCTACGCTCTCCAGAGAAAAGACTGACCCTCGCTCAGATTTATCAAGTCATCGAGAAAATGTTTCCAGAGTTCACCGTTTCTAGAGCTGGTTGGAAAAACACAGTTCGACACAATCTCTCCTTACACGAATGCTTCGTCAAAGGAGACGTTGCTGCGAACGGCAAGAGCTGCTACTGGCACATCCATCCCGCATATATGGCCAGGTTTAGTAAGGGAGATTTTCGTAAACGCCCATCGAGAGAGCTTTGCCCGCTTGACGAGCAAAGAGGATGTGGCCCGCGTCTGCATTGGGACAGAATGCAGCCATGTCCCATGCCATATACCTTTGGAGCAGCTGAAACAAGATTCGCCGATCATCCATACATTGGGAAACGTCACCCTTTTACTCAGGGGACGTTTTACTCCGGTTCGTCAAGTACCGTGCAGAAGTCTTGCGCGAGTTCGACCCTTCGCCCTTCTACGGAATGGCTCAGCGAATATAAACCATATCCTTACTATTATTTGTTTTCACCGAGAAACGCATCGCTGCAGCCAACAGTTAAGAACACACGCACAGATAAACCTATGTGTTCAACACACTGACAGTACTAGACTTAAAAGTTCTAGTTAAAAATTAAACAGCGCAAGGAAGATAGATGCAAACGAATTCTACAGTTGAAACGTTATAAATGCATGTTATATATTTTTCTTTGTCAATTGCCTAGCACTCATTTTTGGTACTTGTATTTTCGTTTTGATTTAAATTGTTTGATTTTTTTTTTTTTTTTTTTGCATCAGTAGCAACTTTAAAACATTGCCAGTTGTTAAAAACTGAAGACACGGTTTATATAACTTTTTATCTAAGTTCGAAAGACTGTTTGCGATCTTTTGAATCAAAGAACATTAATGTAAGAATTATGGTTCTATTACCAGATTTCAACGTTATGTAACGGACTGTAACTTCGATTTCGATTTCCCAGTTCCAGGTAGTCTTATAAATACGCCTGCCGTTCGTAAAAGGGCTCTTAATTTGTTTATTCCATTAAACAGTTATGAATACTTCCTTACACATCAGGTGATGGGCTTTTTTATGCGCTTTAATCAGGACTCCGTCGCTTAGCTCTTCGTCGATAAAATTTCTTACTCTGTAGGCTATGCCAACTCTTCTTGCGCTAAAATGCACTCAAGATTAAGACGCTTTGGCCAGGTTGCTTCAGGGATGGAGCTAAAATTAGCTCAATTTGACTGAACGGGGTATAACAAGGCTGACGTATTTCATTTCCGTTGGAATTAATCTCTACGTTGTCTCTAAACGTAAGCAGAACTTCCCATCGAACAGCATAGAAACGACCATGGGGTAATGATGTCATTAAACAATTGGTTAATACGTCAGTTGGGTGTTTCTTGATAAATAAGGTACCTTGGGAATAATAATAATAATAATAATAATAATAATAACTTTCATTTATATAGCGCTCATATCCTGAGCTCATGGCGCTTTACAACACTGTGCGGGGGACTTTACCAGACTGCTAAGCAGTTTACAATCAATGAAAGGCGAATCTAACAGATGTCCCCTCCCCTCCCCCCCCCCAATTCCCATTAAACAGGCCAGACCGGCACCACGTGCACAGTAATCTCGTGAGAGGGTTCTTTAACGTCCCCTGCCTAACCAAATTAACTAATAGTGCAGTAGACGGGAGGTACCTACGTTTTATTTGTCCTTATCCGAGAAGACTAGAATGTCTATCCATTTCTTGATGCTATAAAAAGGTAGCACATTCTCCTCAGTTATTTTAAGACCCTGAGTGTTGGTCCGGCCGGGGCTTGAAACCTCTACCTCCCGCACAACACAATCCGGCGCTCATCCAATTGAACTAACCGGGAGGCGGTTAGCCAGAAGAAAACTCAAGAAACTGGAGTTGCTCTCGGCTGTGCCACGAGCAACCATCAAGCATCTTTTGTGATCGTCAAACTTCCCGCAAGCTTCATATCTCGATGAATGCAACATGCCACACGAACCAATTATCAAATGAAGTTTCGGCTTGTTACCCGTTCTTTGAACAACGAGTTCTGGCTGGCTTTTTTCTGTTTCTTTTTTTCCTGTGCATGAGACTCAGAGAATATTGAAATAATAACTCCAAGCTTTGAGGTTATTTTTATGTCTCCATGAATGCACGCCGACGCACGAACTATTTATCAAATAAAGTTTGTTACCTGCTCTTGGACGACGAGCTCTGGCTGTTTTGTTTCCGTTCATAAAGCTTAGAGCATTTTGAAAGAACACCTTTGAGGAATTACACGTACTGATTGGAAAGGATGCTGAGTGCTATGGGAATTAAATTTCCTCTCTTTTTGAATAAGGGTTTGAGGGGAG